CCCTAAGTTGTTGATTTTGGTGTTCTAGAATGGAATTTGAATCTAAATCACTTTAGAATTGTAGTAGGAACGGTTATAATCAGCTAGAAAAGTCTAATTAGGTATAAAACATGAATTAGAAGTCTTAGAAGTTGGCAAAATGGCCTAGAAATGGTAAGGGGTGTGTGAGGGCCTAATTTTGCAAAACTTGCATTCTGCAGATGATGCAGAGTCGCTATGTGAGCTGTCTCGCATAGCGAATCCCTATAAGGGGGTGCTCATTTTCTGGGTCATTCGTTGTGCGAGCTGGTGCGTTGTGCTCACTCATTCCATTTTCGCGCCGCAAGCCTTCAAGATAGAAATCGGCCACCCTTAGTGGCACCACGACGCCTTCCACGACGTCCGCAACAAAGTCTGATCCGACGTCTGTCGCATGCTTCATTCTATGGGTATTGGAACACCAGAGGGTACTGCAATAGCACAGGTCCGATGAGTGAGAATGAGGTGGATTTTGGGAAGTTTGAATGGGAAGTGAGGAATGTTCATATGGAGGAGTTTGAGAGAGGAAGGAAAAATGGTGGTAGGTTTGAGGTGGTGGATGTTTCAAGAGCCATGGTTATGAGACCAGATCGGTACCCTGGAGAGCATCGGGGGAACAAGTGGATGAAGGGTTACAATGATTGCACTCACTGGTGCATGCCAGGCCCTATTGTGGAGTGAGTTGCTTCTTGCTGTGCTAAAAAAAGCTTGTGCTTTTCATCTTAATTCTATTTAGTTCAAACTTTTACATACACAAACCATAGATTTTGTTTTATAGATTCTTTTATTTTTGGTATACAATAATGATGGTAGTGTAGTTATGAAATTTGGTTGAAGTTGCAGCGATTTTGATTGAGGAAGTTAGTTGTTAGCAAAATGACCAAAATGTAGCTTAGTTAAAAAAGAGAGAATCGTTTGATTGATAGTTAAAAATGCTCTTACCTAAAGTTATGCAATCTTGTAGACTTTTTCTAAGTAAAGTTGTCTACTACTTACTCATATTTGTAATTTTTTAAATTAAGCTTAATACATCATTTGATTCCTAGTTTGGAATGTTGTGTTTAAAGTTTTCCTACATTTTCTAAAAGTTTAATAATAATCTGTATTTCGTTAAAAAATGTTCAAATTGGTCCTTTTAGGTTATGACGTTAAAAACATAACGGTGCAATTGTTTTCGTGGTCAAATGTGAAGGATGTGTACAATTTTTGCAATACGTGGCACGTATGGTATATTTTAAGGTGAAAATTTTAAAAATAAAATTGAATGACGTAGAAAAAGTTTAAGTCAGGGTTAATTGAAATTACCCTTAGGTTAGAATCCATTGGCGATTTCTGGGTTACAGAATGTGGTGAAAGTGCTCTTCAATTAAAAGTGGGTTGGTGATTCCTTGAAGGTAAAATTGGAAGGGCTTACATACATGAGATAAATGTTGTTAAGTCTAGCCTAGTTGATTGTGCTGAAGTAGGGGTGCAAATAAGGATGAGTTTAAGGAGGTCATTAGAAATTATGTTGTTCATGCTGGGAGGGCTTTGAAGTTTGTAAAAAATGATAAGCGTAGGGTGACAGTGAGATGCATAGGTGGGTAAGGTAAGTGTCTATGGGTAGCTTATTGTGTGTATTTGACAACACGAAAATTTTGGTAATTAAGGAAAATAATTGATACCCATAATTGCAGCAGACAACTTAACATTAAAATGATGAATACAAAGTGGTTGAGTCAGGAAATAGATAGGCCTTTAAAAGACAATCCTAATTTAAGGGTGAAAGACATATGTTATAAAGCATTACGGAAATGGAATACCAAAGTTTCAATTTCCAAAGCACGAAGGGCAAAGTTAATGGCATCAAATCAACTTGAAGGAGATTTTAAAGAACAATTTAGAAGGATATATGACTATGCGCATGAGCTGTTGAGGTGTAACCTAGGGTCAATAGTTAAGGTTAAAGTTGACAATGATGATGGTAACCCAATATTTCAAAGATTTTATGTCTGTCTCAAAGCTTGTAAAGATAGCTTTATCGATTATAGGCCAATTATTTGTTTAGATGGATTTTTTTGAAAGGCTAGCATAAGGGAAAGTTGTTCACTACAATTGGAAGGGACCCAAATGAGCAAATGGTTCCCCTTGCATATGCAATAGTTTGGAGTAGAGAACAAAGACACATGGTCGTGGTTTTTGCAGTTATTGGTTGAAGACCTTGGAGGTAATGAAGTGTTTAAGGCGTGCACGTGGATGTTTAACCAACAAAAGGTACATGTATTTCTTATATTATTTTATACTTTAAGCTTTCTAAATTATGTATGTATCATTAAATAATTGATGTGGATAGGGGTTGCTACCAGCTATCCATGAACTTTTTCCTGGGGCAGAATAAAGATTCTCCATGAGACACCTCTATGCAAACTTTAGGAAAAGGTTTTCTGGTCAGATTTTGAAGAATCTGATGTAGAGGGCGGCACAAGCACGTACCCCTAGGCTTGGGAGAAAGAAATGTTGAATATTAAAGAGGTCAATGTAGAAGCGTATAAATACCTGATAGTCATTCCCCCCAGGTACAATTTTTCACTTACATGCACATTTGAGTCAGTCATGTATGGTAACCCATTTTCCAAATTCTTGTGCAACAAGTATTGGTCAAGATCTTGGTTCACAACTCAAGTAGTGTATGATTCCCTTGACAACAACATTTGTGAAGCTTTCAACAGTCTTATTGTGCTTGCCAGAGGAAAACCCATTATCACAATGCTAGAGGAGATAAGACTTTATCTAATGAAACGATGGGCCACCAACAAAACCAAGGTGACATCTATGGATTTATCTATCTATCCGAAGATAAAAAAGAGACTTATGAAGGAATCAAATTTGTCAAAATATTGGATTCCAAGATAATATTGTCATTTATGTTTATATCCAATTCTGATTTATGTTGATGTCCATTATTCTTTTATTAGAATGTGCTTTATTTTTTTCAACTGGTTACGAAAGATGTTTACACACAATTCAGTCTTGGGAAACAAGTTTACAATGGACTTGGAGACTCAACACTGTAGCTGCAGGAAGTGGATGATAATTAGCATCCCATGTTGTCATGCAATTGCAACAATGAACTACTAAAATGAAGACCCAGAAAATTTTATACCAACTTGGTTCTTAAGATCCACATATGAAGAGACATATGCCTCTATCATTTATTCTATCAATGGCCACCTCCTATGGAAAAGAATAAGCTACCCTGATGTATTGCCACCACTTAAGACAAAGTTGCTTGGGACGCCAAAGAAAAAAAGAAACTTGAAGTCATGGGAGTTAACTAAGGATGCCACCTAAATGCGTGTTGGTGGCCACAAAAAGAAATGTACCATTTGTCGTCAACTGGGCCACAACAAAAAGCAATGCCCTTTACGTCCACACATCACACAACCAACAAAACCATCACAACCACAACCAAGTACCCAATCCCATTTACCATCACAATCACCAACTCTAACATCACAGCCACCATGTCCCCAATCCCCTCAGCCACCACGACTAATTCAAGACTCCATTTCACATTTAAGTCCAACAATGACAAGGAAGAAGTTAGATGTCAGAAGAAAACTTTATATTAAACACTTTAATTATGTACTTTGTTGCTGATGTATTTTGATCAACTTTTTTAATTAAGTACTTTGGTGGTGATGCAATTTGATCAACTTTAATTATGTACTTCGATGGTGCACTTTAATTATGTATTGATGTTAAACACTTCTTTTACTATATTATGCCAGGTATTTCATGTGTTTTACGTTAATATCCATTTGGGACCAAATTACACATTTTTAAATTAAAAAAGGAGACCACATTGCACATATTTTTACCAAAGGGGAAACTAAATTTAACATTGAATACCGAAACTAGATTCTTCATTCTAAACAACTGAACGTAAACATTGACATTCACCTTCACCTTTACATTACATGAACAAAACATATAACCACATTTCCCACCTACGAACATCAACCTAAACAGACCCACATCAACATAAACGAACCCACATTATCACAATGTTCAATGCAATAACAACACACTCAGCTCCAACTAACAATTTTATCCTTTTCTGCAATTTTTTCACTAAATTTTTCAGATCACATATCCTCCTTGTTTGTCTGACATTTCACCATCCCTTTCGTCAACCTTTTCTTCATTACACCACTTGAAAAAGTTATAGTACATCCATTTGAAGATTCATCCTGTTATTCACCAAATAAGGCACCAAAATCGGTTGAAAGTCATCAATGTATCAACAAATAAATTCAATACACAGAAAGTGAGAAGGGTATTCATAAAACCTTGTAATGACGACATCTCCAAAAGTGTCTGTCAGCATTCTGTGCAGTTTTGGCCACTTTAGTTACAACAATATCACCACATTTGCAATGAGGATTATCCCACCTCCCCTCCAACCACCATCATGTGAGGAATGCAAAATTCCTTTCAACCATGTATTGGAACAAGAAGAACAACCTTGGGAAGAAGTCATTCTTATCTCGCCACAACCACTTTGCTCAATTCAGGGAACAAGTTGCACGAATCCTCACCAATCTTAACCCTTTTCTTTTATCCAATAACTTCCTTTTTTAACATTTCATTGCCAAGTCAATTCACTTCAAATTGCCATGCAATAAATAAGTGCATAGGTCATTCACATTTGCCACGTATTGCACCGTTATATTTTTAACGTCGTAACCCAAAATGACCAACTTGAACCATTTTTAACAAAATATGGGTCATTAGTGAACTTTTAAAAAATGTAAGACGATTTTGAACACAACACTCCAAACTAAAGACCAAATGATGTATTAGGTCTTTAAATTATTATTCATTTTAATAAATTTAGATTAGAAATCATAGTAATTTGGTAAAAAAAAGAACCGATCATAGAAGGTACAAAGAAAGAAAAGCATAATACACTTAACGAAAGGGAAGACACTCCCAATGAGAGAGGATGAGTGCAATCTTCTTGACTACAAGCCACTCATTCCCTACCCTCTCTTCAATTATATCTCAATCTGGTCAACTGTAAGCTTTGATCTTCTTACCCTTAACCTTTCACTCCTACGCACTCCTATCATACATGGATCCTGAGCATCGGTTCCGCACCTCCAACCGATTCTTTGTCATCTATCTGGCCGACGTGACGTCCTACACTAACTCTTATTTGTTTTTACCTCCATATCATTAGAGCTCGTTAAATTGACTTTCTTCTGTCAATTGATCATTACACACTAGATAGACAGCTGTCTTCTGGACTTCAAATCCTTTCTCAAAAATAATAAAAATCTCCAACTTGTCTCCACATCCCATATGTGATATCACGCCCTGCCAATCAACATCATTCAAGGAAGTTAGTGTTTCTCGATTGAATAACTGGATTGTGCACTCTGTGTAATTAACCATTAAGACACAACTAAGATATTGAGTTGGGTCGTCCAAGCGTGCTAAATGCTCAACGCACAAAATCATTCCATCCATGTGAAAATTGTCAGGCACGGTGAAATTGACTGAGTGTCCCTCATTCTTATAAGCCAACCAATGAGGATAATTGTCACTAGGGACAAAAACTTTACGAGTCTGTCTGGCTGCCAATTCCTGTAGCATGAGAAAAATAGCTTAGTCATTTTGAAATGGTTCTGTTCATATGGACTTCTTCCATCATTTTACCATTTCAAAGTACAAAACACACAATTTAAGAAAATAACAAGATGCTGAATAAATTACAACATAGAAGGGGAAGGTACTAAAAGAATGTTAGGATTGAAGTTACTTTGTATTTAATGGAATGTTTCATGTTCTTAAAATTAACAGCTAAAATGAATAGTAAAAGTAAGTAGATAAAGTAAAAAAGAGATGGAACCTCATCATAAATGCTTTTTCGGAGAGTATTGAAGACTTCTTTTTGATAACCACCAAATTGAATCGAATATGGACTGAATGGATGGTTGGAAAGTTGTGTAGATGTAGTCCAACTTACACGACGAACTTGTCGGACTTCTTCCAAAATAGCTGTTACTTGTTGAAGTATTGGATACTCCGTCACACATTGCACTAAAACAGTACGCAGATTTAAAATGCTTCTAAGGATTGGAGCTAGATCTACCAAATCATTATGCTCCACATTCATGGAAACTAGAGATGGTGAAATGCCACGAAACGGACGCATACGATACAGGGTATTAAAAGTATGGGACATCCAAGACAAAATGATAGAATGTAGAACAGTACGTGATAATCCCTTTCCTTCGTCTACATGTATATATCCAATGCGTTTTGAGCTTACAACTGAAATGGGAACTTGTTTCACAGCAGTATTGTGAGAAATTAGAGTTTTCAAGGATTTCATGTGCATTATATCTTCTTTAAAGATATCAATCTTCAGACAGCCAGATAGGATAAGAGTTTTAAAGGATTTCAACTTATATGTCTCACTTGGGAGATTGCTTAGGTTTGTACAGCCTTTCAAATTTATTAGTAGAAGATTGTGTAAATCTCCAATCGATTGGTGTACCTTGCCCAAACTCACACAATGCTTGAGAATGAGCTTTTCAAGACTGGGTAATTTTGAAAAGTCAGGGGTTTCTGTCAAGTACTTTGAATGACTAAGATTGAGGATTTTTAGCCACGGTAAAACCTGCAAAAATATAGTATTTTTACAAAATAAAGGAAACCGTGATAAGTGACAATCGTTATTAATGTGAAAAGGAAATGGGATGTAATATATACCGTGGGTTCTTTCCACAGTAGTCTGAGATTACTGTGCTGGAAATCCATTACAATTGCACCTTCCAAGTAAAAGTTGTTAGGTATGTGCTCTAAAGAAAATCCTTGCCAGGAGATACATCTCAGTTGCTTAGAAAGATAGCCGTAATCTCCAGTTAGCCGTACATGA